GCTTTTGAAACTTTATTTTTAAAATACAGCAGATAAACTGAAGTGTAGGATGCAAATTTCACATGGTTTTACATTAAACATGAAGCTTCAAAACATACCCTAACAGTAGCTGATATCAGACCCACGGGCCCCTGGAAGACAGAGTGCATTTCCCTATCAGAAGCACCTCAGGCTACATTCAGCATTACCCTCAATCCATGATTCCTAAATATTTGGTTCCATGAGGTGAACACTCATTTGAAATCATTACAGAAAACTAGCACTAAGAGAACCATCTACATGGGGATGCTGAAGGATTTGCTCCCAGGAAACACTCAGTAACTTGCCAATCTAAGATGAGCATTTTCCATCCCCACCACTGTATTTCCACAAGAGAATATTATTTTTCCTATTGTGAAAAAGAGTATGTTAATGTAGAAATAGCCCCAGTGCCTGTCAGCAGATGAAAGAATAAACACAATGTGGTTAGGCATGTTGTTGTTGTTGTTGTTGTTATGTGCCGAGTTGGACCCGACTCATAGCGACCCCTCCTTGGGTTTCTGAGGCAGTATCACTACGGAAGTAGATTGCCCCATCTACCTTCCCAGGAGTGCCTGGTGGGTTTGAACCGCCAGACTTCTAGTTAGCAGTCAAGTGCCTTAGGCACTGTGCTACTAGTACAGAATATATAGATGCCCTTGAGAACGTTATTGCTTAATGAACTAAGTCACACACAAATGGACAAGTACATCCCACTTATATGAACTAGCCAGAGTAGGCAGATGCATGGAGACGATTGTTTATTAGTGCTTCCAAGTGGTGGGGAGTGAGGAATGGGGAGTTATTAGTGAAGGGGAACTGAGTTTCTGTTTCAGACGATGAAAAGCTCTTGGAAATGGATAGCGATGATGGTGATGTGGCATGGTGAGTGTTAGTAATGTCACTGAACTGTACTTTTAAAACTGGTTAAAATGGCAAGCTTTTTGTTATATATATTTTACCACAAAATTTGAAGGGAAAAAAAAAGACTTAATTAGATAAGGAGGTTTAGCAGAGCAGGGAAAGGAATTAGCTGTGCTGAGAGACACAAACACTCTCCTTGACCACCTTCTCATTGTAGCAGCCATTTGTAAAATATTTTTGAAATCATGAAGCTCTGGAATAGAATGTCTTCCTTACCCCAAGAATGGCTTAGTCTTCCCATAGGATATTCTTTCTCAAGTTGTTTCTGGAAAATAAACCAATCTAAGACCTTGAGTCCAGTAGTACCGTGATCCTGGTAGATCTATAAGAGCGCTTCACCCCAGGAGTTAACCTGGAGCTGGTGGCCCTGTTCTATCCCCTCAATCCTGGTGAAGACTACCTTTCCTGCCAAGAAGAGGGAAGGAAGGAACCCATACCTGGGAAAGCTCTCCCATCCTTTTGCTTATGAGCCTAGAGCCTGCACTGAACTTGACCTCCTGGGTCATTTGAAGTGCAAGCCACAGCCACAAAGTCCAGTGGATTCCTTGAGGGAAACTGGTGGCATAATGTTGCTTTCAGAATGCTGGTGGTTGCCTTCTCTGCTTTCTGACACCCATTGCCATCTTCCTTCTGAACCAAAGAGTGACTCGTGCACATTTCTGTCATAACCCCAATCTGCTCTCTACCCATCACCCTGGGCCAGTGGCCTTGCAGTCAAATGGCTCTCAAGTCCCCTCCTTTTTTGCTAAAATTATAACCAATCCCCTCCTAGACTGCTTCACACACCACTGTCACATGATCTTCTAGAAGCACAACTTTGCATGGTATCTGTGCTTTAACAGAGCCTTGGAGGAGGGGAGTGAGGGAGTCTTTTCCTGACTTAATGAGGCCCACTGTCCTAGCCTGAAGCTCAAGCTGTCCACCTCCATCTTCAACTGTCTTTTCCCATGAGTCTTATGCACTTCCTCACATTCCCCTATTGCAAGAAGGGTGTCAGAACAGCATCTGACCTCCTCTAACTTCACAAGGGGGAAGGAGGATCCAGAAACAGTATCGACAGACCAAGGCTAATCCCTGTGAGGCAGAGGTCAGACATGCTGGCTCTCCAGTTTGTTTGTTTGTTTGTTTTTACCAATTCTGACACCAACCATCCCTACCATAGCACTCTCTCTCCTGGGTTCAATAATTCATTGCAGTAGCCACATAGAACTTACAGGCAATACTCATGATTATGGGATTTATTAGGAAACTAACAGGTTACAATTCAGGTTCAGGAACACTCAGGATACAACTCTTCTATCAGGACAGCCTCCCCTCAGCCTCCCCTCAGCCATGCCTATAGGTATACTTCTCTTTGGCCCTAGGCTTTTCCCCTACTCAGGCAAGTGTTACAACGCTCTTTTAGCTCTGCAGATAGGTGCCCAGAGAGGCACCCCATTCCAGGAACAAGCTTCCTGCCCAAAGGCACTCAGCTTTCTCACTCTATAGGCCAGAAAGCCTGCCACTGTGTGTCATTGCTGGCCTCATGGTTCTGCTGCCTCTGTCTCTCTGCTTTCTCAGCACAGGGATCTCAGGTCTAAGGATGCACTCCACTCCTGGTTCTTCTCACTTGATGATAGTGAGATCTCCCTTTCTGCCTCTGGGATGGCTCATTTCATTTATTTATTTAATTAATTTTGATTGTGATTTGGGTGAAAGTTTACAGAGCAAATTTGTTTTCCATATAGCAGTTCATACACATTGCATTTCATGATATTGACTGCAGTTCCTCACCGTGTACCAGCTCTCTTCCCACTTCTTCTCTGTAGTTACTTCTTCCCCGTGTCCTTCTTTCTTATGCACTCCTGCCTCTGAGCTATCTCCCTGTGTAAATACTGCCCTCCTGTTCTCCCATGATTGATCTTCCAAGGCCTGTATTTACTTGATGTAAATGTTCATCCTATATGCCTCTCTGTCTTTGACTGGAAGCCACTGGAGTTGGTTCAATTCCAGACCTGAAGAGTAACTAGGGGACATAGTCTTGGGGGTCTCACCAGACTCTATCAGATCAGTAAACCTGTTTTTTGTTTTGTTTTGTTTAATGAATTTGAGTTTTGTTCCACATTGTTCTCCCACTCTGTCCAGGATCTCCAGGACTGATCCCTTTCTGAGTGGTTGACAGTAGTAGCAGGGCACCATCCAGTTCTTTTGGTCTCATGGCCATATAGACTGAGGTTCGTATGGTCCACTAGCCCCTTGGACTAATTGTTTCCATGTGTCTTTGGTTTTCTTCATTTTCTTTTGCTCTGGATGAGGAGAGACCCACTGTTACATCTAGAGGGCTGCTTGCAAACATTTAAGATCCTAGTCGCTACTCACCAAAGTAGGATGTAGAACACTGTTTTTGTGTAGTATGTTATGCCAGTTGAGCTTGATGTCCCAAGCCCACAGGGCTAACAACTCACTCCATCAGGGTGGTTGTTTGTGCCTAAGAAGTTATCATAACTTTGCCCCTGTTGGTTTTAGTTATATGGACATTCTTATGGCACATAGAAATACGTATGTAGAAATATCTTCTGGAGATGGCTCATTTTAAGCCTAGTGAGATGGCAAAACTGACCAATCCCCATGTTAGAGTTCCATCCACCTTATTTCCATGGTCCCACTCCAACAGAGGTGCCATGTACCTTATTTACATTTTTAACAAGCTGTCCAATCCCCTTAGTGAGCTACAAAGCACCTCACATTTACATAGTCACTCGCAGTCATCTGGTGGGAGTCACAAAGACCATGGCTGGAAGAGCCATATTAAGTGATTCACTGCACCCCACCTGTCTAACCAGATTACGCTTCCCTCTCTTTTTTTGTGCATGCTCTTCCCTCAGTCTAGAATTTCCTTCCTGGAGGCCCTGCCTGGCAGAATCCTACTCCACAGGAAGACTTCCTTGACACCTCACCCCATTCCCCCAATGTGGTGTAGTTTCTCCTTCCTCTGAACATCATGGCATCTTCACCTCACTCATGGCACTTGGAGCATTCTTCTTGGTAGTTGTCTGTCTGGGAAAGAAAGATATTGGAGTTGGTATCAGAAATCTAAGCTCATGTCCTGGCACATTTCTCTAAAATGAAGTCATAGCTCACTGGGTACCAAAACCCACTACTGTCAATTTGACTCTGACTCATAGTGACTCTGTTAGACAGAGTAGAACTGCCCCCATAGGGTTTCTTTACAGATCTTTCTCCTGTGGAGCAGCTGGTGGATTCAAACTGTCAACCTTTGGATTGGCAGCTGAGTGCTTTAACTATTGTGCCATTAGAGCACCTCCTCACTGAGTGCAGTGAAGGTTAAAGGAAGCAGTGCTTGGGAATGACCTTTGCTGACAGACATATGGTCACTATTTCTCTGCTTTTCAGCACATTTCCTACATGCCTCAGCTCTTTGCAGAAGTAGGCTGTGTCCTGATCACCATTATATACTACCATTACTGCCACTAATCATGGTCACTATTATTACTGCATTTCTAATCATAATAGTTCATGTTTATGGAGCACTGTTGTGCTATTAACCGTTCTAAGTGCTTTGTATGTATGAATCAGTTTAATCTTTCTAATAAAAAGGTAATTGGACCTAAAAGGTAGGTTCTACTGTTACCCATTTATGGGGGAGAAAACCACATATTTCACAGATATGCCCATGAATGAATGAGTGAGATGAAAACGTGGCAATGTCTGCCAGATGTTTTTTCTCTCCTTCCCGTTCTCTGCCTCTACCCCTCTGTTTCTCTTTGGACATCCTGAGGTAAACGAAAAACCAGGAGAAAGTCTAAAGTGGATCGAGCCCCTGAAGACATGAGGTGTCCCTGAATCTTCAGAGACCTCTTCTCTTTGGGATTGTGCCTCAAGGACAGAGACTATGTCTGTATCATCCACTACTAGAGTCCCAGGGTCCAGCATAATGCCCAGGGGCCCATAAATATTCCCTCAGTAAATGAACTAATGAACTTACATCAGCAGATTTGTTACTACTCAAATGAAATTGTTGATGGAGAGACAGTGAGCTATCTGTCTTGCTTCCTCAGGCAGTACTACGAGATGCTCTACAACACCGCTGATGAGCTCCTGAACCTGGTAGTGGACCAGGGCGTGAAGTACACAGAGCTGGAGTACATCCACGCCCTGACCCTGCTGCACCGCAGCCAGACGGGGGTTGGGGACCAGACCACCCAGAACATGAGGCTGCAGCGACTCAAGGAGATCATCTGTGAACAGGCAGCCATCAAACAGGCCACCAAGGACAAGAAAATAACCACCGTCTAGTAGGGTACTGCAGTGGAGGGGGGACCATTTCTGTTTCCTTAGTCATATGTGCTTTGCTTTGGTATGTGGTTGGTGTATCCTGAGCTGACTTGGTTTGCACTACACTGATGCATTAATGCAAAGAAAGTATAAGGCTGATTTTCTCTAAGCTGTATCTTTCCATATAAACCCTACAAGAAGATTGCAGTACAGAATGTTTGAATTTAATATTTACTTAAATATAGTTGATTCCAAGGGGATGAGGGTGGGATAGAAGGAAAGTAGGTCAAATTGTTGGACTCGGAAAAGTGAATGAACGAATTACTACTTGTTCATTGACCAACATGCAACGAACTCCAGCTCCAGTCCATGGAAAACAGACTGCTGCCTGAGTTGTAGTCCCTTCCTAAAACCACTTAACAGGGTCTTAAGATGTAAGCAGTGGGTTTGTACTCCGCCTGTCAGTGTACAGTTCAGAGAAGTAAGTGTGTATGCATCACATTCTGTCTCTGTTGCCAAGATCGAATAAATGGCTTCCCAGCTGGCTATCGTTTTCTACAAATTTCCCTAACCAAGAAAACAGGGCTGTGGAAAGAAAAGGAAATCCTTGTATCCCGGTCCCTGAGAGAGTTTTAACATGCTATACCTTATACGCAGGTGGTAGTTGGTTTATTGCATTTTCATTTTATTTCTGCTGTGTCAAAACCAAGAGCCGTCAAATTAGTGACAAAAATGGAAACTTGAAAAGTCATTCAACTCTTTGCTTGATTTTTTCCTTCTACCTTCCAAGAAGAAATGATTGTCAGGAACTTCTCATCCCACAGGAAACATTGATGCTCACATATCCTTCTTAGGAGCCCCTCAGTCAGAAGCAGACCACATTTATTAAGGAGACCAGATTTGCTCACCCAGGTGCAGGGAAGATGGGACAGCCCATCACATTTCTCTTCCATGTGGCCTCCAGCTGTCTGCTTCTGGAATGTTCTCCAGTGGTGCTGGTCCTCAATGCTCTTGTGCTCTTATAATGCTCCCTGCTGTCCCCTAGTCTCCAAATGCTCTTATTGCCTGTGGTTGACATGCCACAGAGGCAGCCGTGCACTGATGGGTCACACCTTGAAGAAATGTGGGAAAGTGAGCTGGGGGGGACTTCAGCTGCATTGAGTGCCCCATGCCCTGATGGTCTGCAATTTCACACCCATTTGTACAGCTTGAGTCTTGGTGGGAAACAGAAATTTTAAAAAATGTTTTGGGAAATTAAACACTGTGCGTTGTTTTTCTTGTCACCAGACATTCCTGAGAGCTTAATGTACACCAGACACTCTAGGTATGGGGACAGAGAAGAGGAGAGGATACCCTGTTGTCTGCCTTTAAGAGACACTATTGTCCAACCAAAGTCCAACACATGTCCACTTGGTGCCAAGTTAGAAATCACATCAGGCCAAGGTACAGCTGTGAAGGGAGCAGCTGGAGGATAGTCTTCCAGGGGCTATGACAGGAGGGAATCTTGTAAATCCAGGTGGCTCCAGAGGGCTGATTGGGAAGAAGTTGAATCTGTGTAGGAGTCAACCATGGAAAACCATACTGTCCCTAAACAATATCCTGGGAGTAGGTTACCCAAGAGGTGGGCAGTGGGCAGAGGGAAATGAGAGGAGAGGAGAGCCAACCACTTCTACTTCGAAGCTTCTGTTAATGGCCTCTCAACATGGCTTCTGTACCATTTCTTGTCCCTCCTATTCATTTTAAGCAGCGAGCCTTGGAGTAGTGACAGTGGTGGCAGAAGGACCAGGGGTGGGATTAGGAGTGCTTTAACTGGGTAACCAGATGCCAGTGAGTCAACTCCAACTCATGGTCACCTGTGTGTTTCAGAGTAGAACTGTGCTCCATAGGGTTTTCAGTGGCTGGTTTTTCATAAGTAGATCCCCAGGCCTTTCTTCCCAGATTCCTCTGGGTAGACTCGAATCTCCAACCTTTCACTTACAGCTTAGTGTGTTAACTGTTCGCACCACCCAGAGACTCCAGATTCCTCGAACAGAGTTACTCATTCAAAGGATGAGAGCCAGTTCTTGATATGCATTGGCACAGTGTCTTCTCAGAATTGCTCATAATGCTTTCTTCTTTTCTACGTCTTTTGACTACTTTTGAGTCTTATTATCACTTGTCTTCATACCTTTCAACGTACAAACAAACTACTGTTTGAGATGAGTGCCCTGCACGCTACAAAAAACAAACCAAACTCACTGCTGTCAAGTGAGTTCTGACTCATAGTGACCCCTCGTTGGGTTTCTGAAGCGGTATCTCTATGGAAGCAGATTGCCCAGTATTCCTTCAGGGGAGTGGCTGGTGGGTTTGAACCGCCAGCCTTCTGGTTAGCAGTCAAATGCCTTAAGCACTATACCACCAGAGCTCCCAAGTCACTCATTGTACCTCCCCTAGTAATACAGCTTTTTTTTTTAAGCGATTTTTATCGTCATTTGTTGTTGTTATTTTTGGTTGCCATCAAGTCAGTTCTGACTCACAGCGAGCCCTGTGCACAGAGAACTGCTCTTTAGTGTTTTCAAGGCTGTGGCCTTTCAGAAGCAGATCACGTGTTTATTCCTCCCTTAAAGTGGAGTAAAATTTTATGGCCCAACTAGAATAGAACATTTTCTTCCCTCCTCACATCTGGCTGCATTCCTGATGATTGGGCAAGAACATGTTCCTTAAGCTGCCATGGCCCTAAGAGGGTGCTGTTTCCAGACTCTGATAGGCACGGTCATTTTTGCGTAGGCCCAAACCAGCCATAGTTCAGTGGCAGGACCCTCCTGGAGACAGGCAGTCCTATAGGGCCTGTGGTGAGAAGCACCCCCCAGCTGGAATCTCTGTCATCTGCAGAGGGGCCCCTCACTCCCAGTCGCCCAGCCCCTCTCCAACCCTGCATTCTTGCCTGAATGTCTTCTAAGCCTGACTGGCATTGTTTTATGTTTCCAACAGCTTGAGGAGAAGAACTCTACTACAGCCAAGTTGACTTGGTAACCAAACACCTTAGTCCTATCGTCAAGACATAGCCATGAATTTCCTGGCACTAATGCAGTCATTCAGTCATTTGGCCAAACATATTCAATTGCCTGTCACAGGTCAGACAGCTTGGGGGGCTTCATGCAATGATGAGCACATGAGAGGCTCCCTTGGGATATGGAGCCTACCCTGGCTTCAAACAACGTCCACTCTGAACCTGCCCTCCCGAGTCTGTATTTCCCCTCCACCTGCCACGACTGGCCTCTTGTTTAGGCAGCCAGCTCATGGAACTGATGCCCACCATCTCTAGCCCCACTCTCTGCTGCCCTGCTCTGAGCTCTGTTCTGGAGGTTCAGGACTGCACCTGACTACTCACTGTGCCTCCCGGTCAGCCCAGTGCTGATGGTGCTTCTGTCCCCACGTGCTGATGGAATAAAGAGACCCCTGCCTGCCTGCCTCCCAGGCTCTGTGAATGGCTGCTGCATTCAGGATCCTGGCTCTGAGGCTCAGCTGCAGCTGCCTCCCCAGGAACAGGGCACAGAGAGTCACAGTGAAGACCAGAGGAGACCAGGGTCAACCCCAGGCATGTTGTTTGTTGTTATTAAGTGCTGTCAAGTCGGACCCAACTCGTAGCGACCCCTTCTTGCGTTTCCGAGGCAGTATCACTATGGAAGTAGATTGCCCCATCTTCCTTCCGAGGAGTGGCTGGTAGATTTGAACCGCCAGCCTTCTGGTTAGCAGTGAAGTGCCTTAGGCACTACTCTATCAGCCCAAAGAGACACACACCACTCTGGGCTCCCAGCAGGCCAAGTCCCCATCAACACAACTGTGCTTGAAAAGCAGAGTGTGGGCTCACATGCACACACCTGAGAGCAATTGTCTTAATGTGGCAGAGCTGTAAAACAAATTGGGCATAATTTGGAGGGAGGGTAATGAGGTACCAAGAACAGGAACATAAAAAGAAGGGCTGGATTCAGCAAAGGTCTCGACTTCGTCCTAATTAGGCACAGTTGTTGGACGAAGTACATAATTAATAAGTGTGCGACCAGATGTGAAGTACAGCAGAGTTCTTTCCTGAAATGGAAGGTGTAATGAAGTGTACACAGCTGGAAGAAGTTGTCCTAATTTGGTGGAGGCGGAAGGGCTGTCTGGAATCTTGAAGAGGTGTAAGTGAGGTGCACACCACGGGTCTACACCTGAAAACAACTAATCCTCTTCCAACTGGGCCAGGCTATAATGAGACAGAGCTAATTAGCAGGAGTGTAATGAGATGCAGAAGCCACCAGGATGGAGCTGGGGATTTCTGTAAAAGTGAACTAAGGTGCAAACCCCAGGAAGAGGATTCTGCTGATGGAGGGAGGTGTGGGGGTGATAGAGTGCATGTGACTTGAGGAGGTGTGTTATCTGTCTGGTCTGTCATTAGAGCTGTTGTCAGACGTTCACACACCTGCAGCAGGAGGCACTGTCCCAGAGAACACAATGACCTGCCTGTGTGTTCTTCCACATGTACACAGCTCAGGTGTGTGCATGCAACTGAAGAAAGGAAGATCCGTGCTTCCAGGTAAGTGAGCATCCCATCTGATGACTCTGCAGTAGGTACTTCAGGGGAGCCCTGAGTAATGGTGTTGGTACAGGGGGCAGACTACACAGGGTGACCCTGTCAGAGAGGGGTGACACCAAACTGACTGTCTATAAAATTCTGTGCAGTGTTTCAGCAGAAATTTCTTATGAACAGATCCCTGTAGTTATAACAACATTTTTCATAAGCCCAGCTTACATGTATCAATGTACCTACAAGGCTAATTTACTTGTTGAACCTTCTAGGAGCTCTGGTGGCATAGTGCCTAAGGCATTTGACTGCTGACCAGAAGGCTGGAGGTTCAAACCCACCAGCCACTCCTTGGAAGGAAGGTTGGGCAATCTGCTTCCATAGTGATACCACCTTGGACACCCAACGAGGGGTCACTATGATTTGCATCCAACTCAACAGCAGTGAGTTTGGTTTGAGTTTTTGGAATGTGCTCTGG